ACTTTCAGCAACACTTACTCTGGTGGATGCACATTTATTGGGAAAGCCTTCCAACAGAACAGAATTCCTGAAGAAGTAATCCAGAGCAATTCTGCCAAGAAGTATATGTGAACCCGTATTCTGGAGAAGTAACTGAAGTCATAAAATTTTTACAATACATATTGAAAACTGAGAAGTAGAAATATGGTTGTTTTAATTCATGTCGTTCAGCACTGGCTTTAGTATTACCAGGTGATATAGGTAGAAACCTAATAATCCGTAGATTTTTAAAGGGCTTCTCAAAAAACAGACCAAGCAAACCAAGATACAAAATAACGTGGGACCCTAAAATTGTCATGAATTACTTAGAAACAATAAGCCCTAATGAAACATTGTCACTGAAAGAATTAGGCATGAAACTAATAATGCTTCTTACATTTATAACAGACCCTCTCTTTAATTAAAGTAGAAAATATAATAATTATTCCACAGGGATTACAAATCCTTATTCCGGATAGAATCAAAACTACTAAACCAGGCAGAAGCCAGCCCTGTTTGACAATAGTTACCATTTTTTGACGAAAACTCACACCACTCCGTGTGGCTTCAACATAATTCAGTATTATCTGGAAAGAACGGCAACTCTTCGAATTAACTTAGAATTTCTATTTATCACCGAAAAGGAGCTATTACGACAATTGAGCAAACAAACTTTATCAAACTCACATACCTAGTTCAGAGGCATTCAATGGCCCCAAAAATTTCTCACATCCCACTGTGGGTAATTGAGTTGTACAATATCAACTTTTATAAGTTATTCAGAATGGAAAGAAGTATTTTTGATATATTTCTAAACGTAATAAGGAGAGCAGACAACACAAATTTACTGGATGTGAAATACTGTGGTGGTCATTACCCTATCAATGTTAACGTGCAAATCCTAGTTTTGCTTAGATATATGGCATCACAAGAAACTTACCTAGAAATAGGCAATCAGTTTAAATTATCATCAGGGACAGTAATGCAAAATATCAATAAAATTATGTACTTTGTACTGAAATTTAAAAAAAAAAGTATATTAAGTTTCCCAGTACAGCAGAAGAGAGGCGAATAGTTTTAGCAACATTCACTGCATATCCAGGTAAGTCAATAATTATGATATTTTTAAATTACACAAACAATAAATACAGGGTGTTCATTTTAAAATTACCATCCCTATTATCTCAGAATTGAAAAGTGTTCCTTGAAACACGTGAACTATAATTTAAAGCGGGATGAGTTTCTATGCAAAATTCACCCCCCAGCCCCAGAGCCACCCCCTAGAAAGTCTCAAATGGGAAGGGCGGTGATACCTACATCATTTTGGAGGATTTTTAATTCCATACATTTTGGTACTAAATTTTTTGAATTGAATGATGTATCACTGGACCCCCCTTCCCATTTAAGATTTTCCAGCGGGTGGCTCTGGGGGCTAGGGGGTTGAAAGAGAGGAGGTAAATTTTGCATAAAACTCATCCCCCTTCAAAATTATAGTTCAAATGTTTCAGGGATTTTTTCGAACCTTTTTCAGTTCAGAGATAATAGGGGTGGTAATTGAGTTTTAAAATAAATATCCTGTATATCTACCTCGATATCTACCTACTAGGTAAGTACTTATTTTTGTTGTTTGAAAATACTGAATTTTAAGTACAATAGGAGCAGTTGATGGCACACATGTCAATATTTCTATAGAGGAGGCTCAGCAAGATAGCTACATTGATCGCTACCGTCAACACTCCATAAATGTAATGCTAATTTGAGATAGAAATAAATTATTTTTATTTACATCTGCAGGATTTCCAGGACCAGCCCATGATTCGAGGGTGAGTGGATTTATCAACATGTTTTACGTTCTAATTTCTTGCTTTCGTAGGTTTTTGGAAATTTTGCATTTTATCAGAATAACCAAACCTATGGCGCAAATTCAATTTTTGGTGATGAAGATAATTTTCATCTTATAGGAGAGAAAAAATGGCTCATGGTTCCTTATAAAGATACTGGTAATCTCACACCAGTTCAAAGAAGACACAATTTTTATATTGTATTCTTTCACAACATCGGGAGGTCTAATATCAACATATTTTTTTTCACCGACATTGAATAAAGATTATCGTTGATTATATTATGGATCCTGTGCAAGTAGCATTTTTAATTGCTGAAGAACTTGGGTCAAATAGCAGAAAGAGCTGTTAAACTACTTCAACTTTTAGAACCGGATGAAGTTTGGGAAGAAGGACGTGACCGGGAGCCTCGCCCGAGGAATCAACAGTTTTACGAAATCACAAAACATGTCTATTTTTGCGAAATAAAAGTGATTTTTATTTATATTAATTTCATTTGCAGGTTCTACAAACATTTTGGGAAAAGTAGCATGATAAAATTGACTTTGATAAAAAAGTAATTTTTACTATATGGACGATTTCAAAACCTGAAAGTTCTCTGGCCGTTCGAGATCGATTCGATTTTGGAAAAACTACCGCTCACAAAATTTTTACAGATATTGTATGTCCTCTACCTGGCTTAATAAGAGATTATGTCAGATTTCCTCGGGCAGATGAGTACACTTCCAACAAATGTAAAGTATTCTTTGAACATAAAAAGTAAAGAAAACTAACCGCAAATGTTTCAGGCATTTCAGGAGAAATCTGGAGGATTTCCTGGAGTTGTGGGTACTATACACAGCTGTCACATCCCTATTAAACAACCACAGGGAAATCAACATGATTTTTATAATAGAAAAGGATTTCACTCCATAATTTTACAAGGTTAGTAATAGTTATAAAAAAAAGTAATTCTATTTTCATCTATTGTGATCATATGGGTAAATTCATAGACTGTCACATTGGTTCGCCTGGAAAAATTCGTGATGCTAGAGTTTTACGTAACAGTAATCTACATGAACATTTAAATAATGAATATCCATTGCTGCCAGCTAATTTACACCTCATTGGAGATTCGGCATACCCTCTAATGATGAACTTAATGGTCCATTTTAGAACCACAGGGCATTTGACCTCTGCTCAAGTAAATTACAATGTGAAATTAAGTTGCATAAGATCAATCATTGAAAGGGCCTTTGGAATTCTTAAAAACAAATTTAGACGCCTAAAATTTTTTGATATTTCTGATTCTGATTTTGGTAACAAAATAATTACTGCTGCAGTTGTATTATACAACTTTTTATTAACACAGGGGGAAATTAATTTGTATGAAGAAAATATAGAATTTGCAAACGAGGATGGTGATGGAGTTTACAACTGTATAAAAATTATCTTTGAAATCATAGGTGATCTCCAAGTTGTCACTTTTTTTCACGGCTAAACGCTAACATGGAAAAAAACAAATATTATTAAAATTCTGATCCAATTATTTAAATTGTGACGGAATACAGCTGCTCACCGCCCCAGAACAGTTGGCTACAGAACCGACAACACCGGCTGTCAACTGGACAGGCCCCAGACAGCTGATCGTTGACGCAAGTTTGACGTATGGCGCCATGTCAGTTCATTCTCCCGCCTCGAAAACAAAACCAACGACCAACGACCTTTTTTCATTATTCCATCTATTTTCAACCTTTTTGAGTTTTTTATATAAATAAAGTCGCAAAAAGCCAGATTGGTGTGAGTGCGCTGTGCTACCGTCTAGGTTAGGAACGACCTCGTTCACAGTGCCCAGTCATCTAGTGTTCAGTGCCTTTCGCGCACATAGAATCTTTTATCTTACACGGCCAACGACGACGCAATGACGATGAACCGACTGACGACCAATCCATTATCGCCCGTGTAGGGATGAAAACGCCGGAACTTTGGTGCACCGAACCAGAGCTATAGTTCCTGAGACCAGCTTAAATAGCGAGATTTTGCAAGAAGCAGCTGACTTATTGCGGAACCCGACTCAAGGTACGGCTTACGAAGACCTAAAACCCGCCTTTTGGACAGATATGGCATTAATTCTGACGAAAAAATTTGCCGGCTGATGGAAATTACTTTGGGCTATCCGAAAAGCTTTGGCCATGAAAAACATTAGCTCACGGGCACTAAAAAACCTATGGCTCGACCGCTTACCACCCCAAGTTCGAGCGGTTATACCCGTGCTTGATGGGGACCTTGAGCAACTAGCAAAGAAAGCCGACGAGTACATACACAGTGCCAGCCTTCCAGTTTTGTCCATCAATGAGAATGACGGACAGTGCTATTATTATCGTAGATTTGGACCCCAAGCTAAAAAGTGCAGACCTCCATGTACTTTCCCAAAAAACGACCAGGAGGCGCAGTGATGGCGACAACCGTTGGCCCCCAAGCTCCACGTCGCCTGTTCATCACAGATGAAGTAAAAAAAATCCAATTCCTCATTGACACTGGAGCCGACCTAAATGTGGCCGAGATCAGGAATAATTTTTTTTTCATCCGCGAGGAGATTCAGCGATCGTTTATTAAGTCGATGTCGTCGAAGAGCACCGTTGCCGTTCGGATATTCCCTCGTAGTGCATTTCAAGGGTCCTCGATTTCCTCGCTAGTTTTAGACCGACGAAATAAATGACAATTCGAAATAACATTTCTGACGGGAGGGGCGCTTATCAGATTGTGGCGCCTCCGTCCCACACCAATAGAGGACGCCATCGACGCAAGTAGAGCTTGCAACCTCGTGAGATTTTCGCGATCGATATCTCCGACCCGTTCAACCACGACAGACGACGAGCCCAGAACAGAGAACCAGTTCGGCAATAGACACGGCACGTCGAGGTCGACATCCGCCATTTTTGAACCGAAAATTAGGCGCAATTCACACAGAACGGGCGTGTGGTGGTGGCGTGGGACTGGCGTGGCCACCCGCACGTTAGCCTATGAGACAATTCACATAGAGGTGACATGGAACTGGCGTGATTGCTCCCACCACCGCCACGCCACTTCGGTGCCATGAGAAGCCTACACGAGTGACACATGCCATAGGAATTCAGTGTTGTTTTTCGATTTTATCCGAGAATGCAGGACGATTTTCAATTTAATATAGAGTTCTGCGAAGAAGTGCAACAGTATGCAAGTTTATACGATTATAAACGATCGGATTATTGCAACAGAAGTGTGCAAGACCAGGCATGGGAAAAAATAGCTAAAAAATTCAGTGCAAATGGTAAGTACTTGTTTATTAACTGCTCATATTAATAATGTTAACATTAACACAAAAAAAAATCATACACAATATCTGTCCTGATGAGGAATTGGGGCGCGATCTTTGAAATACTTGCTTAGATAAATTCTCATACATTTAGCGTTTTGTAATTGTATTGGAGTGACGTCGCCAACGATAACGTTTTCATGTACTGGTCTTGAAAATGTGCCATCGCACTCCTTGATAGCGTTGTGCAACACACACATTGCTTGAATTAGAACATCGATGTTAGCAGGGTTACATCGAATAAGTATCTGTAGAAGTCCGAACTTCGTTGTTAGCATTCCAAAAGCGCATTCCACTGATTCCCGTGCTCTCGAGCACCTGACATTGAAAATCTTTTGTTCGTTATCGTTCAATTCTCTTCGAGAAAAGGGCCTCATTAAATTTTTAGAGACGGGAAATGCCTCATCGCCCACAAAAAAATAAGGCATTGGATGAGGTTCTCCAGGTAGTGCCGCGGGTTCAGGTATATTGAGACGTCCTTTCTTTAAGGCTTTTCCAAAGTTGCTATTTTTCAATGCTCTTCCATCACTATTACGCCCGAATTCACCTACATCGATTGTCACAAATCGACCATCTGCATCTGCCACTGCTAGCAAGATAATAGAGAAAAACCCTTTATAGTTGATAAACTCAGACCCCGACCGTGGTGGTGCTTTTATTCGTATATGTTTACCATCTATGCTACCAATACAGTTGGGGACATTCCATAGTTCATAGTAACGCTGTGCTATTTCTTTCTCTTGTAGGTTTTGGCATATATACAGGTTGTAATTTCTCCCATATGACTTGGCTGGTGTGATGCACGATTCCTTGTATAGTAGAATGACCTCTCAGGAAGTAGAAAGAGAGCGCTTTGAAGAAACATCCAGTAGCGAAGTACCTGTAAATAAAAAAATGTATCATTGTTAACATGAAACTTCCCTGATTTTTGTATATTATTAAATTAGTTGTTTCAATAAGGGGGATCGACTGGATACAAGTTTTATTAATTTCCTTGAACCTTCCTAAATGATGGAACTATAACTTAAAGTTTACTTTGTCCAAGAAACTAAGTTCTGGTAGCGTATATCTATATCTTAAATTTGTTTCTTTGTTGTTTCAGTGACCGAGTGCAAAGACCGACGGAAAAACCTAAGAGGCAGCTATTCAAAATATAAGGCAAAACTAAAAACAAAATCAGGACAGGGAGCTAAACGAGTTAAAGAATAGTATCTGGCTCCACATCTTTTCTTTTTGGATCCTTTCTTGAAATCTCGCAAAAGCAGAGGAAACATGGATGAAGAGTCGGACACATTATCAGATGGAGTGGAGGCAGGCACGAGTGAGCACGAAGCTAATAGCGATAGTGCTGAGGTGTTGTCCCTTGATAATAACAGTATTTTATCGATGGCTTCCTCTCATTCACCTCTGCCATCCCCCAGTACTTCCAATTATACTCAGCCGTTATCAATAAAAATACCTGAAACACCAATACCGAAAAGAGATGATTTTAGAAAAAGAAAGAAGTTACCGGTATCCGCCACCTCCATCAATGAAGTTAACAACCAAGCTTATCAGTATTTTAAAAAAAAACAACACATGTTGGAGAGTCAAAACACGACGAAGAAGACAAACACCACAATCGAGCCCCAGGACCCTGACTTGGCGTTTTTACACAGTGTTCTCCCGGACATGAAGTCTATGAACAGTACCCAGAAGCGACATTTCAAATTGGGAATTTTGAATTTGTCCGAGCAAATACTCTCCTGCACCACTTCTGCATTTCCTGCTCCACCAACGAATGTCCCTCAGTCTTGTAGTCAAGACTCAGTGAACGCAAATTTTAATTCACCGTCGCAAGAAAATAACTCCTCAGGGAGGCCTTCCTTTTGGAGTACCCATTCAATGGACAGAAATCTAAATTCTACTTCCCAAGGGAACACGGAAGTCTCAAGGGAACCTTTCAATATGAATGAATTCATCCAATACAACAATTAGTACTTTAGAAATAACACTATCAGCATATATTTTTTATTTTGTATTAAACTTAAATAAATGAAGTTACTTTAATATTTTTTTTTCAACTTACCTCAGCGTTATTAACAGCCTCTCCTCTGGACTGACAGGTTCCCTCCAATTCGTAGATTTTTTTTCTAGATCAACTCTTACTAAACTTAATATTCTATGGAAACAGTCTGTAGACATTCGGTAGAAACTTTGAAAACGTTCAGGGTACATGTTGAGCTCCCTCATAACGTTAAACGCACCACTACTTTTTCCTTTATCTAACCACAATGGATGTACCCAGTATCTTCTTTCTCTTTGCATGTCTGCTAAATTTACAAGGTTCAACATATCCAGATCATCTTCGTCGTCATCTGAGAACATTTTCACTTCTAAAGATCCTCGTGCACAGTTGCACTATTGACTGAAATAATTAGAGGTGGTGTTTTATTCACCCAAACACCTACTCAACCTCTAAGTTGGTGACCCCGTGGAGTGAAAACCCGTGGAGTGAAAATCGTTGTGAAAATCGTTTTTAGTGCGCCGTAGATCCAAGACACAGTTCAGAAGACAATTTTCTTTTTATTAATTTTCGTTAAAATACAGAGTGCGCGTGCCACTTTTTTCCTGCCTGTGACGTCTACCCTCAACCCAACGTGCTCCTTTGCCTTGCTCAACCAACAAGACAGAAGTTGGCCATTTTGGATCGCTCCGCCCGGCCTAACCACACCCAGTTGTTGACATTGACAGCTGCCAAAAAAATCACTCCGTTTTCGATCGAATTTTTTTTTCTTTGTGTCCTTTCAACCATTCCCTCACATTTTTTGCAAGTTCCTAGGCCAGCCATCATGCCAGTTTTTCCATTCAATGAGACTCCCGAAGAGAAGCAGGCTCGCCTCGCCGGCCTGGCCGCCGAATGAGCCGCAGCAAACAGGCAGCCCTTGCTTGTTGAACCCACCCGAACCGTTAATGCAGTTGGCCAATGCAAATTGCCGCCATTTTGGCGCACAAGCCCAGAACTTCGGTTTCTCCAGGTCGAATCGAAATTCCAGGTCAATCATGTGGCCAGCGACACGACCAAGTACCACCTGGTTGTTACCACATTGAATCACAACACAATTGCAGATGTTTCAGACATTATCAGGTCCCCTCCGTCTGCAGACAAGTACCAGGCTATCAAGGCGGCCATTCTAGCCTGCCTGACAGACTCGCCAGACACACAGCTCCACAAGCTCCTCACAGGCGTTCAACTTGGTGACAAAAGACCTTCCCAGCTGCTTCGACACATGCGCACCCTAGCCGGCACCCGTGTTGGCGACGACGTTTTGCGAGTCAAATGGCTTGACTTGCTACCACAGCCCACAGGCCGCATGTTGCTCCTCATTAAAAACCAGACGCTTGAAGAGCTCGCTGAAGTTGCCGATGAAGCTCACCAAATGAGGCCCTCTGTCATGGCCACTTCGAACCAGACCTCCCACTTCAGCATCCACTCGTGCAGCACCAGACCAGAGCTTTGATAACATTGCGCATGAGCTTTCCGCTTTGCGCCTGGCTGTCACTCAGCTGGCCACCATCACACGCAACGCTCTGCAGCCGCAATCCCAGAACAGTGGCAACAGCCACCGAGCACGATCTGCCACAGCACCATCAAGACCGCAACCGTTCAGCTACACCTGTACCCAATCCAGGTACAGGCTATTGTTGATACCACACCAAGCATGGTACTTTAGCCATGCATTGCAAGCAGCCTTGCACCTTTCCATCACAAGTCGCCTCTACTTCGCCGCCGGGAAACTGAACCCGCCGGCGTTATCCTTGGCAGCCACCGCCGGCGCCTCATCTGAATGCCGCCTCTACGTCATGGACCGAAGCACTTCCACTCGCTTACTAGTGGACTCAGGGTTTATTGTCTCAATCATACCCAAACAGATCGTCAGCAGGCCTCTCCAGAAACAAAGCCTGGTCTTGCAGGCAGCCAATGGAATGCCTATCCTCACATTTGGCACTCAACAGCTCACGTTGAATCTTGGTTTTCGTCGGCCGCTCCAGTGGCCCTTTGTCATCGTAGACGTGCAGACAGCCATTCATGGTTTGGTCATAAACTTCGCATTTGCCGTTTGCTTAACGGTCTCACCAGCTTCTCGACAACCTGCATCGTAGGCCCTACGCCTAATGTTCACTCCGCCAGCGTTGTTCCAGCGCCATCTTTTCCAGATGGCCCTATGGGTAAAGTATATAAAAAGCTCATTAATAATTTTGCTCATTAGGAAGCGCCACCTGGTGAAATGGCTGTCGTTCCAAACTTGCCAGTCCATCACCCTTTTGTCTTCAAAGATCTACGTTCTTGCGACTACGTTTTTCGACGCATAGACGCCGTACGAAAACCCTTAGAGCCACCGTACATAGGCCCTCATCGCATCATTGAGAGAATTGACGACCGTTCCTATGTCGTAGACGTAAATTGAACCGCAAAGACATTCTCCACAGACCAGTTGAAACCGGCCTATCTAGCACCAGCAGACGAGCCTCCGTGCACAGTTGCACTAGGGTAGAACGCCAGTAATTGACCGTCAGCCAGTGTTTGACCGTTTTCGTGAGAAAATGTGAAAAATAAGAATTCTAGGAATATCTTAAGGAGTATGAAACTATTCATAAATAGCCTGAAGTTTTTTCTCCACCCCCTACTATGCAAAACTTTCGCTTTGTCACACCAGATTGTCGTACTTGTTGTTGAGTTTACCTCCAACCACAGGCTGTGCACATCGTCTTAAGAAGTGTAATTTTTGAATTAAGAAGTTCACCCAATTAAGGTAATATTATTCATTTCTTTTTGCATTTTTTATATATTTTTTTTGTTTTTCGGTGTTCTAATAAATGTTATCTATTGTTTATATCAATAAATTACCGCTTTAATTTATTTTTTTGTCAAAATACAGCCGGTCAAAGACTGGTAGCTCTAAATTTGAATAAAAATTATTGTTTGACCAATCGGTCAAATACTGGAGAAATTATGAGATTTATTACCTCACAACTATTGGAGATGGGTTTATAATAGAATAAATTTTAATATAATTTTTTTTTCATTATATCTTCCCCTTTAAATGGTTTAGTATTCGACCAAAATTTTATGCTCTATAAATAAGATACATGCAGTTTAAATGTTCAGTCAATAATTGGTTCTTTTTTGGTCATTTATTGGGCAAAAACAGGTCAAACATTGAGTTTTTTAGCAAGCTTCAAGTTTTATAAATATTTTAGCCTAATATAAAACATAATGCAATTTTTTGTATTTTTTCTGTTTTATTAAACATCCTTCATAACGACAAAAGTGATTGACCGCACTTAAGTAGGAATAATCTCTGTAAAATAAATATAATATTTGTTTGGTCAAACACTGGCCCCTATAGGAGTCATTTACTAATAAATTGGAAATATAAGTAGGAAATTTAGAGAATTTGAACCACGATTCCTTTTTTTTTCAGACCCATTATATCAACAAAGCCTAAATTTAAATATAGTGAAAAAGATCTTCAAAAGGCCCTCGATGCAAGAAGTAGGGGTTTATCTTATGAAAAAGCAGCCAAGATGTTCAATGTACCAGAGTCAACCCATGCATGCATTTTTTAAGAATAAAAATGGTTTTAAAATATCATTTTCTATTATCATTCTTTTTGTCAACTTTTAAATCTTAAAAAGAACAAATAGAACATTTTATGATAAACAAAATAATAGGGAAAAATAATAAATATACCAAAGTATTACTTCCAAAAAATGGTCAAACACTTAGAGTTTTAAGGTTAAAGTCTAGATAATTGCGGTCAACTAATTCAATCAAAGTGGTCAAAGACTAAATATCTTAACACCGTTTTCTTTTTTCATTTTTAAAAATTCTACTTTATGACGGTTTATTTAATATCTGGGGTAAGTAACTTTAACTGAATAACATGTATGTTTGATCACATTTTTGATTAATTTATTTGAATGTATATGTATCTACCAGAAAAATAATATGGCTCGGTCAAACACTGATACTAAAAAAATCCTTAAGGGGTCAAACACTGGTGCATTTACCCTATTGACCGAAATAATTAGAGGTAGTGTTTTATTCACCCAAACACCCACTCAACCTCTAACAGGTTATGAAGTTTAAATGTTTACCTTTTTGAATTTTGGGTGATTTTGGTTAGAGATTAGAGACGTTTTAGTGTTCTTAAGGTTTCAATTATCTAATTAATTGTTCATATAATCTGTTGAAAATCATGGCCAGCAATTCAGAAGCAGAAGATGTGCTAATTCAATTCGAAGGACGGTACTACGGTACTTAGTTCCAATACAATAAAATTAGTAAGTGGAAACCTCTTTTCAAATAAGTAGCACTTAGGGCCAAATTATGAACCTGCTGGTAAGGTTCCTGGCAAATTTATCCTGCTAGTAGACGTGATAAAACTTATGAGCTTGGTGGCAACCAGCACCTTTATCAGCAGGTAAGTGTCCGGTTGTTACCTAACAGATACTTTCTATGCTCTAGAGAATGGAAAGTACCTGCTAGGTAACAATCAGGCACTTAGTTGGTCCATAATTTGGCCCTTATAAAACATTTTTTTTTCTACAAGAATACTAATTGGAACCAATTAGAATAAAGACCTAGATCGAAGCAAGAGCTTCATGTGCATGTTAACATAAATTATCTAATCTTGACTATTTTTATAGCGCAATCCTATGACGTAGTTGAAGTTGAGTCTGAGACCGACGAATGACCACTAAACACCAAGAGCCTTTAGATGAACATGAAAATATCCTTGCCGATATCGATCAAAATCAAGATCCAAAAACTTTGAAAATTTGGAATTCCCAAACAATAATTTCAAGACGAAGCCAAAATCCGACTGCAAGCCGAAAGAAGAGGTAGCCTTAGAAAATACCAGAGATATTTAGCTTAACTTAGGATTAGGATACATTGTAGTTACAAAGTATACTCATCAGGAATCCCATGG